ACTTCACTCTTTTTCTTTCTTCCTTCTAGATTTCTAGTGAAGAGATCTGTCAAGGAGATCCATTTCTCTACCGACACTTGGAGAGTGTGAACAGCCGAAGGGTTCTCTTCCCACACAGAGTGTGAAAGGACGAAGGGTTCTCTGCCCACACTAGGAGAGTGTGAAAGGACGAAGGGTTCTCTGCCCACACTAGGAGAGTGTGAAAGAACGGACGGTTCTCTGCCAACACTGGGGATTGTGTAAAAGGACGACGGATCTTTGCCGGACCGGGTAGTGGTGAAAAGCGTGTTTGTAAAGGCTTCTCCGTCTTGCTGTGGGTGCAAAAGGAGAGATATTATTGGTATTAGTGCAATACTCAGAGGGTGCCTCTGGGGAGTGGATGTAGGTCTGATTTAGACTGAAGCACTAAAAATCTTGTGTTGTTTACTTTACTGCTTTTTATTTTCCGCATTTTTCTTTTGTTTTAAAAAATTTGTGGTTGAAAAACTCTTCTATAAAAAATTTCATTAAAAGTTTAATTTCGGTTGAACTAAAATTTAAAAGAGGGTTAAATTTTAAAAATTCCAATTCACCCCCCCTCTTGGTAACCTTGGGACATTAACTTAGGTCTAACAACCTATTCACTAGACTCAACAATATGGATTATTCAAACTCAACCATTCAAGTCCAAAATTCAATCAAATTATAGGATTTCAAAGCAAATCCTAGGGTTAAGAGCCTAAGTCCTGAAATCCTTTCTGGGTGATTTTTGTACCGCCTTGAAGCCCAGTTAAATGACATCTGATTTAGGTTATATCAATTAAATAATATTTTGATATGTCTCTAAGATCAACCCACCAAATTTGAGCTCATTCTAAGGCTCCTAGCCCCAAAACATTGAATTAATTTCTAAAGGCTACAAAACCTTTAAATATTTACAATCAATGCCATTAGACTTGCCATTTAATAGAATTTGACCTTGGGAATATTTCCAAACCTTATAACCACATCCATGGCCTTTGTTATGACTCTTTGATTAGTAATCCACACTTTGTTGGATCCAGTTAGACCTAGTATTGACCAAGGGTCAAAATGACCAAAATGTTTTTTAAAGTAATTTTTGGACTTCTTCCTGAAATTCAACATGGACTAGCCATATCACACCTCAAATCCTATTCTAACGATTCCTAAATGTCATTAGGAACACTTTGGATCCAAACCCACCCTTTGGTTTGGCCTGGTTCACCAAAATGGCCCTTAAGGGTTCAAACATCCATTTCAAACCAAATGACTTCCTCTTGACTTGAAACCTTTTTCATTGAGTTCATATGATCAATTTGAACACATTGAGCCCAATGCTTGACCCTACGTCAACTTGGTTTACCAAGACCCTAGGTCAACTTACTTGACCAAGTCAACTAAGTTTTACCTAACTTCCCATATACTCCTATCCTTTTAAAACCTTTGACCAGGGCTTTCCCAAGCCAATTCAAACCTTTATAACCACCCATTGGACCCTTAGGGATGACTCTTTGGATGACCCAAGCCTTGGGCCCACTTGGTTAGCCATTTGGCTTGACCCAAGTGTCTAAAGAGAGGTTTCTCATGTGCATTTCGGAGGATGACTCATTCATGATACATACAAACTCATATAAACCATTGCAGGAGGCCTACCATGCATGCAACAACTTTTGATTAACACCAACATACAAACAAGTGCAAATATGATACGTGATGATTTAAAGAATTCAAACATGAAGGGAACACTTGGAACCAAACATTGGTTTAATGAATGAGCAATCAAAATGCTCAATGGATGAATCTTGCTCAATGACTTGTGATGGGTTAGGGGAAGCTTCTACATTCCTATCACCAATAATAATCCAATTCAAAGAAGACAAGTCAAAGAAAAATATCAAACTAAAATGAATAGGTAAGTATTCATGTTGGATACAAGAAATCCCTATACCTCACTCATAAATGACGATCAACATGAAAGGTCTTGCAAGAAATAATGAGTGGCAAGATGATGGCAGTGAGAATCATGATGCATTCATGAAGAAGACCTAAAAGCTAATGCATAATCAATACTATTCGACTGTGAAATAAATGCACTGAATGTCTACAATCAAAGTGCAATATGAGATGCTCATAAGCCAAATATGAAGATCACATAATACATGTTGTAAGATCTACATCGTCAATAACAATTCAATTTCAAGCAGATGTAGTGGTCCTCCTACAAGTAGAAAGGGGCAAGAGCAATGAATGAGGTGATACATTCATGAACGACACACATGAGGAAGATGCTCAATAAATATGCCACTATGCCGTCAGTGTCGGTATACACTCATGTGTATAAAATCTTGCAAGCAATGAATGGTGGAGATTATGGAGAATATGGAAGTTCATATGAAAAAATAATTTGAAGTATTCTCCAATAAATGCCAATGGTAGTCATGCTGACATGAGCACTAATGACAATAAGCAGAGATGTTAAACTTATTATGCATATTGCAAATGACCTTCAAGGACAAAGAAACTCCAAAGGTAAATAATATCCTAACCACGAGTGGTGCAGTGATACAATCATGGGTAAAGTCTGAAGATCTAGTACCTCTATACAGTATGATGAATACGAAAGTCAATGATAATCGCCCACATCATTGGCAATAATATTGTGGTGAGTATACATGCTTGTTCCCTACAAGAAGAGAAGTTAGACATACAATATACAAGACAACTCGCTGTATGTGATGAAGCATCAAGTATATATGAGAAGTTTGCCATAAACATAATAGAAATTACAACCACTATCCTTGTCATCCCGAGGGCTACAATAATTATTTTAGGAATTAATATCTTACAAGGACCTCCTAGGCAACCTAATGTACATTCAATTGTTGTAGTTAACAGCTTATAGTAGCGATCACTGATCCTGAGGTGTAGGAGATCAGTAAGAATGCAATCATCCAAGGTTGAGGTTACTAACTCTTTATTTAAGCCAAAAATAGAAAATGAGGATGATGGCATAATCAGGAAATTGTTCACTGATCCCCATAAGAGTTCTAAGAAGAGAAAGCCAGATCAAGCCATTATCTTCAAAGACAGAGTGAGTTTCATTTCAAACGAGGTCTGAACATTGAGTTGGATAAAATTATTGAGGCTTACAAGCTTCTTAATGAATAATGTTCATACATTTAACATACCACCCACGAGCAAATACAGAGGGATTATGACAAATGCGAGTTCCTACTGATCATCGTATAAGGTCCATCAAATGTCCAAATGTCCCCGCACATGCACTGTAATATGTATCCACATAGATACACAAAAGGGGCATGTGCAATTGCATACATGCATAAGCCCTGGCGAGCGTGTTATTGGTACACACGTGATGTCTAGGGATGCTGCGCAAGTCCATATATGAATGTAGTCCGAGCCCGATCCTTCTAGACAAATAGATATGAGTCGATACGACTCAAATTATCAAACAAATATATGGTCTGGGTGTCGACTGAAATATCTATTTTATACGTTCATATAAGAACTTTAAGGCCTCCAACAAAGAAAGTTTATTAACAAAACCATACAGTCTACGAAACCTGATCCTCTGTCAATAGCCCGATAAAGTCGACAATGTTCAATCCAAAAATAAAAATAACCCCAAACACCCCGATGATGATCGTGCTGAATGCAGATCTCAATTAGAGGGGTTAATTTGAAATATTTTGAAAATGCCATCCCAAATACCAAAAAATCCAAATTTCCAAAAATCATCTCAGTCCAAATAATTAAAATTAAAATAATCCAACAAATTATTTAAAGTAAAATTCATCCACTCTCCGCAACAGTTTGTCGATGTGGACAAATTAAAAATTATATCAGCTCACATAGAGCTAATGCATAGTCGATAATATCATTATGATTAATTCTCAAAAAGTTTCCTACCATTAAAGATGTGGTACGTGTCCTCTAACCAGCAGTTTTGTCACCAAATGGCACCGCAAGATAAACGATTATGACCAGGGCCCTCGAAATCGATTGTTTTTTTTGCCAAATGGCACCATGAAATAACAGTTATGACCAAAGCTAATACGTTCCTTAGTGGCATCAAATCCTTGAGATAATGAATCAATAGGATATGATTGATAGGGCACAAAGCCCTCTGTTAGCTAAGGTGGATTCAAATTTATCCCCTTAGACAAACATTCACTAAAGGTCTACAAGATCCCCTTGGACGAAACAACCCATGGTTGCCGACAAGGACCCTTATGTCAGGTTGATTGACTACCTCCTCTGATTAAGTAGATCAGGGACCATGATGGCTCGGGATGACGGAACCATGGGATCTTGACCGGGTCCATCATCCATTCCCCCACCATCTGCTTTAAGTGGGGGATGATAAAGTTTCTAATTTTAAATATCAAATCCTTCAAATACCCTAAGCTCATGCTACTACTATATGCCAGATGCATGTATTTCTACGTATTTGATTGACGACTAGCCTTAATCAAAATTTCTCTCTCATTATCGGGAGGGTAATTAAGTATAGGGGCTTGCGCCTATAGGAAACCATAACTCAGATCATAAAGTCCTCACAAAATGAGGGCGAAATCTCTGATTAGTGTCTTATCTACAAACCCATACTTTCCAAAATTTATCCCAGAACTTAATTCTGTTAAAACTCCCCCGAAGAAAAAAAGCGGGGGAGGTCAGGGCTGAATTTTCGGAGCCCACAACACTCTTCAAAATTTCACATGTTTAACCTGCTTTACACTTACCAGTGCGTCTTATTTGTGACATAGAAGTAGCTTAACAATTCTCTGGTTTAAGAGGGAGGTCACCAGCAAGTCTGTAAAAAAAAAAAAAAAAAAAGATGATAAAAGAACATTGTAGAAGGTGACTAATGGGAGTAGCAGAAGTGAGACAACTACACCAATGAAACAAATTGAAAGTTTATCTGTCCAAGTGATAAAAGTCGCAGCAGTTATATGAAACTGAGAAACGTTTAAAAAGTCTGAAAAAATCTGCCCAAATCGATCCCCTTTTAAGTAAAAAGTTTCGGTGAGCATGGCATTACTCCATCAAACTAGTAAGTAGAAGGGAAACAAAGGTAATTGCTCAAATTACAAGTGATTGCCAGTGAAATGTGACAAGTGACTCTATTACTTTACATGTACAACCAGTGTCCAATAGATGGCAATTCGAGATTATCGGGAACTCCAGAAAATAGGAGGAAGAAAGACCAATAAGGCCTAATAACAATGAAAGGGCTAATTCATTTCTTGTAGAACATAAACCAGGATTTTCATTTGACATTTTAGAATATCAACAAAGCTCCAATATTGTACCACCACTAGTTGTAGGAAAGATAAAAATATGAGTTCAAAACCATTGGCAGATCATCTTTAGCCAGGCTTAGCCAGGCCCCGATATTGCAATAGTAGCCTGTGTTGCTTTCAGCGTTCTCTGTGAAAAAAACAAGCTCAATGTATATGGAAATTTTGGTTTGCATTGGGTAACCTGTCCGAAACTCGAAGTGTTCCTCCTAGCTCAATTGGCACCAGTGGTATCAAAGAATGGAGCACATCAGTAATCAAAGGCCGGTAACTTGGTTCTGGTTGTACGCATAACACAGCTACAGCGGCAACCTAAACAAGACCATCAAGAATCTCATAAGGGAGCTCATTCAATTAGTCAATGAATTTAGTTATTTTCATCATTTAGTTGAATGCATTTAAACACACCCATTAAATTCAAACTTTACAAAATTTGTAAAAATATCGTCAAAAAATAAAGATTTTATTTTCAAATCTTTATTGTCAAGGCTTCATTTGGGACAACTTTTAGTTACTGCTATTTCATTGCTTTTAATAATTTTTTATATTAGAAAGCTGCTGTAGAAATCTATTAAAAATTATTCCAAACGAAACCTAAAGCATGATATCTATTTATAAACAACTACGAGTCTAAGGTAAAACCTAGAATCCTATAGAAAAATAAGAAAAAAAAGAAGAAAGAAAGAGAGCAAAGAAGGAAACTTACTTGGTATAGATGCTTTAGGTCCATTGTATCCCTAATCACAGGATCTACAATAGTTGGAAGTTTCAATCGGTCTGTCAATTGCGGCATTACCTACAATATAAATGATGCTATATTAAATATCATTATAAATAATTGATTAGAATAATAAAATTTAACAACTAATCATATATTATAAGTTTAAACACAAACATTAACTTCAAACTTCACAAAATGATACCCAAGTCACAAAAGATTGGCAGAGAGATGGTACAATCTTTTCAAAAGTCTTCCTTCCAATCAGTAGCTCAAGGAGAACTACTCCGAATGCATAGACATCACTTTTCTCAGTAACCTTACCTGAAATAGATGTAACTTATAGATTACTGGCAAATATAATTGCTCAGCATTGACTAATTGATGAACAAAAAATTTCAGTTCATGTGAAAATAGGAGAAATGAAGTGACAAACCGTCTAAAATAGATTCTGGAGCAGCATAGTCTAGCTTCCTAGAAAATTTAGCAATACCCTTATTTAGGCCATCATCAGTAACTGCAAGGCCAAAACCTGAAATCTGTTTTCAGAATAGTAACTTATTTAAAGAATATTTTCCTGATTGCAATTTGATGAAAACATAGTAAGATGCCACTGTAAAAGAGTCATGTACCTTGACATTAAAATCCAAATCAAGAAGAATATTTGATGCCTTCAGATCTTTATGAATCACAGGAGGGTAGCAGTGCTCATGAAGATATTCAAGTGCTCTACTAGGCATCAAATTGGAGAACAACAAATGTGATTCATTAGTGTAATGTACATATGGCAAATCCAAAAAGAAAATAATTTCAAAAAGGAATCATAATAAACTTCAGAAGCCTAACCTTGCTGTGTCGACTGCAATTTTCATTCGCAAATACCAAGTTAAAGCTGATCCATGAGAAGTTCCTGGAATAGCAATTCAAAGCATAAAATTTGCTGCAAGAAAAAAATTTTACATTTTTTTTGTTTATGTTTAATCCAAGACAGCAAATAGAAAGTACCATGCAATTGTGTTTCCAAAGAACCATTTTGCAGCAACTCGTAGACAAGAAATCTGGTTTCCCCATGTATACAATAACCCAAAAGTGAGACAATATTTGGGTGTCTGATTCTTCCTAACAAATCCAATTCATTCTACAAATGCAAGTAAAATAGTTAACTGATATAGAAGGTTAAGAAAATGGAGAGATTATATAAAGACTTTACATCAAACATTCTCTCGTAGTCCTGCCCAAAACCATCTAACTTCATTACTGCTGCAACAACTCCTCCATCAATGCAAGATTGATAAACACGGCCAAGCCTCCCTTCTTCCAAAATATTAGTCTCACTAAAGTTTTTGGTGGCTGACTCTAAGGATGAGTACTCCATCATTGCAACCAATGCTTTCTTCTTCATCATCTTTAATGAATTAAACTTGCTAAAAATTGGACCCAAGGGAAGTCCTTTAGTAGCGTAATCTACACCAACTGTAATTTACATGTAGCAGGATAAACTGTTAAAAACTGTTCATACAAATTATAGCTCAGACAAGGTTTGGAATTACCATAGTTTTGGTCTTTGAAGCCTTGAACCAGGTGATTCCTTTGCCAGATGATCCAGAAGAAAATGATAGATATAACTATAGCTGAAATCGCAATCGATGAGAAACAGATTGCTACGATCAGTTCTTTGTTTAAATGGTGGTGCTGAACCACAACAATTACCTTCATTACTGCAAAAAGAAACATAAGAAGATTTATGAGAAGAAAAAATTTATAATTTGTTAAGAAAAGGAAATTAATAACGAAACCTTAAGGGCCTCTTTGGAAATTAGTCGGATTTAACTTTATAGGATTTAAAAAATCCTGTAAATCCAGATTTAGCAAATTTTGGAGCTGTTAAAGTCTAAAAACTGTTTGGCAAGGTAGATAATAACGGCGGATTTATTCTGCCGTGAGATTTATGGCGAGAGAAATACTGTTTTTTGCAGGATTTACGCTAAATCCTGCGTAAATCCTGTTGCCAAACAGCCCCTAAGAGATATAGAGAAACGAGCAACATGGAAGCACCAAAAGTCAAAACAGAAGGAAATGCTTTTAAATTACATTGTTGGTGAGAGAAGCTAAGCAAACTTTCCAACATGCAACGAAGTAAAAATGTAAAAGAAGGGGGTTAAAAAACCGTAAACAGACATGGTGAAGAAAGTGGATAAACAACTACCTATAGGAGCAGGTGCCAGAAGAACGGGTGGTCCAGAAACGGGCTTAACTAGAGGAGAAAGGAGTGGAGCAGGGGAAGGTGAAAGCCAGGGTCGGACTCTGCCATTGGTGGGAGATGGAAGAAGAGTGAATAGGAGAGAAGATATACAGAAGCGCCACACTGAAGGAAAGAACGTGGGCATGCCTTCCATTTTTGAGGGAACAAACAAGGCATTTGGAAACCTGGAAAGGCAATGGAAGCGGTATAAATACAACACAGTGGGGACAGGAGCATCCAAATAATTCACATGGTCGCTCTCTTATAGATATTTGATGTTATCTATTTTAAAATATATGAAAATTGGTTAAGTATCAATGTCATTTTTTTTTTAAGGAAATATGACTAAAAATTCATTTTAAACTAAAAAACCACCGCACGCAAATTTTGAACAATTGTTTTGCTTGAACATTCCTCTTCCTAGCATCTTTACAATTTATGATAATGCTTCACAACATCTAGAGATGTCAAAAATGGTCAACGGGTCAAAATTTTGAATTGACATGAATCTGATCAATTCGAAGTTGACCCGCTTAATAAATAGGTCAAACAATTAAACTTGAACCTAACTCGCTAGTAATTCGAACCCGACCCAATAACTCATTTTAATTAAAAAATATATATTTTAGCTTATTAATCATAAATTTTAGGTTGATTGATTAAAAATAAGAGAATAATACTAATAAATAAAATAATTTAAGAAAAATAATTAAACGAGTTATTTTCAAGTCAAAATTGGGTTTGTGGGTCAAGTTAAACCCAACTCATTTAATAAACGGGTCAAAATTTATGATCGAACTTGAATTATTTGGGTCAGATTCGAGTTGAATTAGTGTGTTAAAATTATGCCCGTTTAAATAAAGTTAAGGCAGAAGAGATCTGCTTCATTAACATTGAGTAGCTAGAGCACTCACCTAAGATACTAAAGGGGAAATTTAATTCTATTATTTTATATATGTTGTGATTTCACTATAATGTATCAAAGTAATAGCCTGCTATATTATAACTATTGTGATTACAATTCATGTATCAAAGTTATAGTCTTCTGCATTCTAGCAATTGTAATTGAAATCCATTTTATTAAAATCATAGTCTTCTATGTTATAGCTATTGTGATTGCAATCAATTGTATCGAAGTTATAGTTTGTTGTTATAGCTATAATGATCATACTTTGTTATATGGGAGTTTGAACCATGGTTAATGATGTAATGGCTCTATTTGAATAAAATGAATTATCAAAGTTTTAAGAAATTAGTCTGTTGGAACACAACGATGTTGTGGTTTCAGGCACAGCGGCCCTGAGAAGCGCTAAAGTGGCACCTCGGTGCCATAACATTCTATTTTACAGTAACTCCAGTAACTCTGGAATCACATTTGACGCAAGATGTTGGGTCACTTAGGCCATGACGTCAGATACTGAATGAGTTTATATATATATTTTTTTGTTTCCACTCAGCCGACTCCCTCCCTCCCTCACTCTCTTGTTTGGTTTGCAATGGAAGGAAAGGGAAAAGAAGAAAGGAAACATGAGAGAGAAAAGAGAAACCAGATTATTGGTCGTCAGTTCATTTCGCTACTTTTACCAAAATTGCTGAGATAATTGTATGCGAATTCTACCATATTTCTATTTTCAAATATCTTGCCTTTGACCATTTGATTTTTCCCAAATTGATTTTATTTCATTTTCTTCAAATTAGTGAATTCTACCCCCTATCTTTTTGTATATTATAGTACTAATTATTCTAGATTTTGACTGGTTAGTTTCATAATTTCACATGTTAAAATTATAGTTATTATATTATTTATGAATAGCACATAATAGTAATTTATTCATTTTAATCAGACTATATTATTAATGCAAGCATTGTGAATAAATATAGGTATATGATTGAGTAATAGCTGGTTGCTACTACTTTTATAACATTATAATAATAATGTGTAAAAAAATAAAGGTTGGTGATTTACTAACGTTAGCTAGAGACTAATTTATATCTATATTGGGTAGTGTGCTAGCAGGTTTTCCTTTAAATACTATGATTTGATATTATCATTTATCAATTCATGCTATTCACTGATTGGAAATTATAAGTTATTAATTATTATGCTGACTGGCAAGTGTGATAACTTTGTTACAATCAAGGATTTCGAGCTTATGATTTTGATGATAACAAATATTATTGATTGTCTCTTTATTTCTTCTAATATTTATATTATATATTTTCTCTTGTGTGTACTAATATTTACAAAGATTATACACTGTGCATTGAATATTTAGATCTCAAGCTTGGGTAGAATAGGATGATGTTTTGCACGAGTCTATAATCTTCATTTCTTTTTATATTTCTTGAGTCAAAATCATGTAAAGGTGTATATTAACTTGGTGACCGTACACACATACACGAGGGAGTGAGAACATGAATTTTAGATTTTTGAACTATTCATATCATACAAACTAGATTGTACTATATGATCATTTATTTAGAAAACCAATTAAATCAATTAAATGAGTCATTACAATATTTGAATTAATTGTATTGTACGAACTAGATCGTAAAGTATGACCAGTTTAACTCAAAAACTCTAGCCGCCAATCTAGGTAAGTAATTTAATATTTAAATATTAAAAAGATTATGCTATACAAAACCATATGTACTGCATGATATTAAAAATGTTACATAATTTAATCCTCATAATTAGTCAATCAAATCAAGGTTTAGTAAATAGGACAAATCATACGATACAATGTTCATCATATTGAACGATTAATAGAGATGAAGAACGGTCATCCCAAGGATCATCTTGGATGAAAATAATATTTTGAATGAATCGTATTGTACGATGTAGATCGTATATACAATAGGTAGAGATGAATTTCAATATTCCTAAAGTTTATCCTGTATGAACTTAAGATGAATGAACTAATCATATTATATGATCCAATGATTAGACAGTATAATCGATATGCAAAGTTTAAATAAACTATAATATGACTATTTAAGCTTTACTAGACAATATAGGGTTTTGACCTAATCATATTGTATGAACCCAAATCATATGGTACGATCATACAGTAAGAATAAAGCGACATAATTAAAAAAATTAGGGTTTTTTGGTAGCATTATATTTTAACACTCTTATTATACTTTGAAGTGTCTTTGGCTGTTGAGACAGTTCTGTAAGATTCCCTTAAGAGGTCTTAAATCTTGGAGAGCGAGAATCAGAAGTTTTATGAGAGGGAGAAGTAGTATGAGGGGTTCATATGGTTGTTCCAAGCAAACTTCTACCTTGGTTCCTCCAAGCGTCTTTGATGTTCTTTTGGATAGCTTTGGGGAGAAAGTTTGCAATGTTGAAGATTAGGTTATCTGCCTCATAAGGAGGATGAATAGGATTCCAGGTTCTCAGCCTCACTAGGAAGGTGAAAAGAATTCTAGGTTCTCTGCCTCACTAGGAAGGTGAGAAGGATATCAGGTTCCTTGCCACATTATGAGGGTGAAAAAGATTTCTGGTTCTCTGTCTCACCCAAAAGGTGAAAAGGATTCTAGGTTCTCTGCCTCACCATGATGGTGGAAAGAATTCAAGTTCTCAACTGCATGATAGAAGGGTGGAAGTGATTTTGTAAAAGCTTCTACACTTTATTGTGGGAGCTAAATGAGAGACAATAAAGATTTGGTGTAAAATCTGGAGATGATTACTCCGATGAGTGGACGTAGGTTAAAGTTTGATGGAACCACTATAAATTTTTTGATGTGTTTGTTCTTATTTTTACTTTATTTTTCAAATTTTTATTTATTGTTTTAATTATTACCAATATATAATTCTTACTTGATATAATTCTAATATCTTTTTATTAGGTCAAAAAGAATAATAAAAAATCATATTTACAAGTTTTTGGCTTAAAATCTAAAAATCAAAATATTTCTTTCTTGTGAGTTATTCTTTAAAGTAAAAACTAGACCGCCTGTGAAAATTGTGTTGGTAAATTATTCTTAAAAAAAAAGGAAAATTTTAAAACATCAATTCAACCCCTTTTTGGTGTGTTTAGGGTAGTTCCACACTCCTTTTGGTGTGCTTAGGGTGTTGAGTCCAGTAATTAGGTTGTTAAGCCTAAGTAAATGTCCCAAGGCTACCAAGAGGGGGGTGAATTGGTAGTTTTTAAAATTTTAAACCCTCTTAATAATAAAGTTGAACCGAAATAAAAGCAACTATTCAAACATAGGGCAGTTCAATAAGGTTTAATAACCTCTCTTTAACTTTCAATTAGTATGAGAGTGGGTCGCAGAATTAGTGATTTACAAATCTTTTAAAAAATATCAAATGACACTTTTTGGAAATAAGAATATTGTGAAGGATTATTCAATAAATCGTCAACCATTATTTGATAATATTCCAATTGATTTTTGAAAAATTAGTTTGTCCATGTATTTATAATCAGCTGATTTTTTCATGTGGTATATGATACAAGAAGATTATTCTGCACCATTTAGAAATATTAATTATATTCAAACTGAAACATCATTTAATGAATGGAGTATGGAGATAGAGATCTTGTAAAACTTAATGCTAAATGCATAAATTATTTTTTTGTGCTCTTAAATATGAGGATTACATGAGAGTCTCTACTTATACCATTGGAAGGTGATTTGGGATAAACTGTGCATCACATATGAAAGAACTAATGAATTCTAACAATCCTATCTAAATCTTTTACTATATAAATATGAACTCTTATGTATGAAATCTAGTGAATCAATTTCTGACATGTATACTAGGTTCACAAAAATAGTGATATTTTTGCATGCTTTAGGAAGAGAATTATCAAACTTAAAAAATGTTAATAAAATTCTTCATTGTTTGCCTAATTGATTTGATGCAAAAGTCATTACTATTTTAGAATCCAAACATTTAAATGTTTACTTTATTGATAATCTACTTGGATCTTTGATTCCTTGCAAGAAAAATGTGAGCCAAATATTTTTGGATGTAGGTGATAGGAGGGAGGAGAATACTATGTCATTGAAGGCTGATGATTTTAATAGCAAAACTCTGCAGCTGAAGAATATGATGATATAACATTGATGACTTGGTAATTCAAGAGCTTTTTGAAGTAAAAGTAAAGATGTCATCAACAATAGAATAAATGTAAATTAGGTAAAAGTACTAAAG